CATAGCAGTACATGATCCACAAAGATGGAATTCAGTAATAGACTTATGGAAAGGAATAGTAGTAGCAGACTTTATAAAAAATTATACAGAGACCGATGCTGAAACTATGTATAAATATTTAGAAACATTCTTAGGAGAATCAACTAAAGCTCTATGGGAAGCTTATAAAGTAGAATTCCCATCAGAATTTCAGTATTTAGTATCTTTAGGACCAAACCCATATAATTTTACAAATAAAATACATACATTAATAACAGGAGAAGACCCAAATAGTGGATTAGTAGCTCTACAACGAAATGCAGTGATAAAATTAGAACAATTAAATATAAGTAATTGGTATTATATAAAGAAATTCTTAAATGATTATTTCTATTATTGTACAATTAGTGGAAACGCCTTTGACCAAGACCTAGGTAAAAAATTATTTAACAAACCACCAGGAGCATTAGGAAGGGAAATAGAATAAAGATGGATTAAAAGAGAAGGAATAGCACAAAACCCTCAAGCTAAATGGTCAATAGGACATAGAATACAACATATAATGGAAATATTACAAGAAAAATGTACTAATCTACAAATACAAAAACAATTAAAGCAGAATGAAATGAATTTCTGTAAAGACATAATATATACAATCCAAAATTATGATAGAAGTCAATATAAAAAGAAAAAAGTATAAAAAATATAACCCACAAAAGAGATATAATAAAAAAGGATATCTTCTTAGAAAATCTTCAGCTAGAAAACCATATTTGAATAGGGATAGACATGTTAGAAAATATAGAACAGATAGAAATTACAAAAATAAATTAGAATGTTTTACATGTGGAAGTATAGAACATTTAGCAAATACTTGTCCTAAAAGATATAATGCTAAGACTAGAAACGCTCAATTAGTAGAAGAATTCAATGAAGCATTATTAAATGTAGATGAATATATGTCAGATAATGAAAGTGTTTATTCTATAGTAAGTATTGATATAAATGAGGTAACAAAGAAGAAGACTCTTCTAACTCAGAAGGAGAAGAATTAATTAATGAAATAGGAATAGAAAACTTAGACATAGATGACTTAAAGATAAATTTTATGAATATAATAGAATGTGAACATAATTTTGAAAAAGATACAGGATTAGATAGTAATCCATGTAATTGGTGTAGATGATATCCTAGTATTTAGTAAAAATATAAAAGAACACTTAGGACATTTACAAACAGTTTTTAGACTATTTGTTAATAATGGGATAATAATTAGCAAAAAGAAAATGGAACTATGTAAAAACTATATAAATTTTTTAGAAATTATTTTAGGAGAAGGAAAAGTCAAATTACAACCTCATATAGCTAGAAAAGCTCTAGATATGCCAGACA